TTTCTAAAGGAAATCACGCTATATTTATTTAACCAAATTTTGTTTAGCCGAAGAATCTACTTTGATTTTTATTGCTTCGTACTGTTATACTATTTTCTTATTTTTCTAAAAAAAAAAAGGAAAGTTTTTTTGCTATTATTTCATTATTTTAATTGTTTCATACGACGATATAAAATTATATGGAAACGTTTTAGAGAATGCAACTACAAATAATTGAAAATGAAGATTTTGTCAACGGAATAATGCGAATCTTGCACAATTGCAATCGCGACTGCGCAAAAATCTTATTAAGAAAAGCTCTTTAATATACATAATTAGTAATACTAACTATTGACTCTACAACGATTTTGTACGTACGACGTGCTGGCCTCTCATCGCAATACATGATTTCTTCGATTCCGCAGAATTCCCCCGTGAAGCATTTCGAACTTCCCGAAACTTCAGAATGTGATATATCGAGGATCCGGGAAGAATTCTATTCCCAACGGTAGAAAACTCGATGCAGCCACGTGTTTTCATCGCGTGGAAGATCCCATCGTGGGCTGTGAACGTTCCTCGAGGAAGTCGACACAAAATCTCGATGGAAACTTTCGAAAAGCTTCCGCCCGCCTCTTCGACATTACTTCCGTCTCCGCCTTGCCGTCATCCAAAATCCGTTTCCTAAATCTCGTACCTAGCCGAAGCTACTTCCACCGTAAAATCACGCGCGCGTAAAACGGGCAATAAAGGGAGAGACGGGAGCACGCGCATTTCCATGAAAAACGGAAAAGAATTAACGAACCGAGAAGCACTCAAACTTACCGCGCACGACGATAGAAAAATTACCGATGCAAAGATTTTCAGGCATGAAGAAGATTGACTACTTTTGCGTCAAATCGCGCGTCGCACGCGATAACGAGAAATTTATTTGCCATTAAGGTTATCGCAAACAAGAAAGCATATAATTGATTGTTAAATAAGTTATAAGTTTGTCAGCAAAACCGAAAACACAAGGGAATAAAGTACAAGTTATTCGGGCATTAAATCAATACGTATATTTCAATCATCATCAAGATTCCTTGCATCTCTAAAAAATGAATTCCAACAGGGTATATCATGGTCAATAAAAACGAAGTAGAGAGCTACAGCAAGCAAGAATTTCGAAAGAATTGACTCGCGGCGAGAGATAAAACCGACGGCATAATAGCGATTTCCATCAGGAGACGTTTAAGGTACTGTGCAAAGATGTCGGTGCCGCCACCGCTGCCGGAGAACGAAGGCGAAAGCAGCTCTCGTGGGCGACAAAGGGATGAATAGAGGCTTCTAGGACGATGAAGATGGCGAATGTAAGACAAACAGAGATAGGGAATGCGAGAGAGCGAGAGAGAAAAAGGGAGGAGAGGAGAGAAAGAAGCAACGGCAGAAACGCATCCGACGTTCGACTTATTCAAATGAGCCGATAGATTGAGCCACGAAGGTGCCATTTGTTTCTTTCTCGAAAGCTCCTCGTGCACCCGCGACCCGATTTTGCCGCCAAGACTATTTATCTTTCTCCCGTTGCTATGTGGTATTTTCAAACGGATTTGATATCACTGTTGTTAACGTTGAATTAGCGATTTTAAATGATTATCGAGTCGGTAAGATATTAATGATATCATTAAATAATATCAATAATATTAATCAAAGCTTTTCTCCTCTTTTGTATTCTAATTACATAGATAATTATGAGCAGTACATAATGTTTATAGTTTTCGTATATTGTTTTCTTTTCCTTTTTCAATACAATAAAAATAAAAATACTTTATTTATACGAAAAATAAGAAAAATGAATTGACGAACAAGTTGCTCTATTTATGTGTCCGTGACGCTGACCAGTCAGGATAATGGTCGATCGCGAAGAGGCAAGCAATTTTCATCGTTAACGAGTGCAGGTCACGAGGGTAAAAATAAAAATCGTCGAAAGAAAGGAAGCCGAGTGTAAGAGAAATGAAGATGTATGATATATAAGACAAGTTGCAATTTAGACATATTAAATTTTAGTAAAATGGCAACAAACTTATTACATGCAGACTTTACCTTTATCTTGATAACATTAATAATAATTGTAATGACAGTATTCGTAATGAAGAAACAGAGAGCTAGAACGAAAAAGCGAGGGAGAAGAAGAAAGGCAGAAAAAATAGCGCAACGTGTCGATAGGGCATTCCTTCCGATTTTCTACATCATTTCCCTTCGTTCGTTGTGATAGAAAATTTCCGCGGTCTGTGATACGACGAGAAAAGAGAAAGAGAGAGAGAAAGAGTTAGTCTACTGGTCTTGAATCGTCCGTAGTAACGTGTGAGAATAGCAGGCGCGAACTCTCTCCACCGGTCGTTCTGCACGTGTTACTTCCTCTTTTTCTTCTACCCATCCGGTGCGCCCATCCCGGCGCACCTACCCTTCACCCCCTTATTTGCTCCTTTTCTCTTCCCCGTAGTTTCTCACATCGAGTCTGCCCGGCACCAACGTGAAAATCAGCGCGGAGAGAGACTACTATTCCTTGAAGCTCTCTTTATACTTCCGTTTGACTGACGTTGAACCGTAACGAGCGCCGCCGGCGAAAAATGCGATCACCTGTAATCGCCGCCTTATGCGATTTTAATCGGGCGACTACGAGCGCAGAATTGTAATTTCAATTTTTTTCGAACTATGTGAAAATTTCCGTAATAAAAATATAAATCTTGCTTTTATACTTATAGAATTTTTCCATGAACAACTATATTGCGTGAGCAAAATATATGTCATTTACAAGAATTACCTATTTTTACTGAATTATATAATATGATTATAGAAATGTTTTTGGTTGTTAAATATTATATCGGACCATGTTTTAAATAATAAATAAATATAATCAATTTAATAATAAATTTGATAAGTTTTAAATAATAAAAAATTGTCTGTCACACATTATTAAAATACGTTCTAAAATGTTCGCTCATCGACAGCTACTGAGCTTCTGCCGTTTTATTCATTATATCAAATCTTCGTTATTTAAAATCTAAGCACAGAATCTATACGCGTTGATATACATGTATAAAATTTCTACATATACAAAATTATAAATGCGATAAACGTGTGTTTCTTATATTCACCAATAATTTTTTTCTTTCGTAGTATCTTATTTCATTATGATACTCATCTTACCTGCGTAAGCGAGTATTTACTTGGGGGATACTTGTGGGTTTTCGATTAAAACGAGACGACAAAAAGAAACGAAAATGAATCGCTATAAGGCAGCAAGGAGAAGCCATACTTCGATACCGGAAGCGGTCACGATCTATGTCAACATGCATATACATATACATGCTTGGTGCACCTCTTGCGTGCAACTAGTAAGAGCAACCTTATCCTGTCTCAAAGAATACAATAAAAATGTTGCGTCAAAGTCGGCCTTCCTGCTGACCGTGAGAGCGCAATTATTCATTCCTAACAAGCTGCTCACGAAATAAAAACCATTGTCTCTTTATTTTTCCCCACAATCTGTAAAGATAATGACTTTTCCGAAAGCGATAACGATTATGCTAACCTTGCCGTAAGTGGCGTCTTTCCGGCTGTTTGCCGCAATTTATAAGAGAATACGCCTCGAAACCTCATTTTCACGCATAATTCTCACTACGCGTGTTCTCTTCGGCGAAATTTCGAATTCAGCGCGCGCTATGTGAAGCAATAAATTTCAGCGAACAATCATTCGAGGGGTTGGCTTTTAATGATCGTGCTGCGAGCCCGACTGCGAGCACCCACGATATTGGGGCACCTTGATCGATTAGGTACCGAATGTTTCGTGACTTTTTCCTTTCTCCACGACGTACCACCGGCCTCAACCGAAGCGATCGATTCATTTTATTATTTGCCCAATCCTCCAAAGCCGGTCGAATCCCGCATTTAATAAAGTTCTTTTGTCTCAGCTCTATTTATTCGCATTTAATGAGAAATCGCGAATGAACGGGACGATTCTTTGCTGCTGTACCGTTTGCCATTCTTTCACAAAGAATGGATAAACCCCGTGTCAGCAATATTCAATAGGAAATTTAATTAAGAATAATTAGACGGTTCAAACTTTTTGTGTTAAGCAAAAACAATTTAATATCTAAATAATAATAATATCATTAAGGAAACTGTTAATATCATATTTTTTTGAAATTTTTCAAATTCGCACGAATACACAATTACATTATTTATATGAGAAACCATAAAAATAAATATTAGTGCTGATCACTGATTATATATTCCGTTCTATGAGTGACTAACAGACATGAAAGAAAAAAGAAATAAAAGAGCGAAGCTAAGTTTACATCAAGCCATCTTTCGCCATCTTCCGTTCCGACTCCATCGCCTCCGCGTCCCCGCACACCCCATGCTATCACGAGTAAGAAGTCGCTTTCCAGCCCGTAAAAGTGAATGCATAAAAGTGCGCGTCGCGAATGCATAAAATGGCGAATAAACCCCGTCGTAGAATATTCGTGCTTACTTCTTCCGCTCTTACCCTCATTCTCTCTTTCTCGCGCATTCCTCTGCCCTCTCCCTTCCTTAGTTCCGTCTGCGACACGCGCGCGAGCTCATATATATTCTTTTCCTGCACTTCTACATCTCTCTTAGCCAGCATTGAGTTGTACTATATCGCGCGAGGTGCGTTTATACTTGAATCTATTGACTTTCACGCGCCATCCGAACCAATCTTGCGTCGCGTCCCCGCGGAGACCGTGACGTTAGGTAAGTGCTAGAAATCCTCTACAACTTTGACAATATTCGACTCGTGAGATTTTCATCGAGGTGCATTCGCCGATTTTTGATTGAAAGGTTGCGAGCGACACGATATTAGAAAGACGAAAAGATTTCAGAACTGAAGTGCATATATCATAAGTTTGAAAGAAAGATTCTTATCGTTTTTATGAAAAATTATATACATATGTGTATATATAGCGGAATTGGTTCTTTATAAAGAGAACCTATATACTAAAATAAAATATATTAGATTGACTTACCGGCACGATGCGCAGCAGCGGAGTTGTTCACAAATTGATCTGTAACATATAAACATATATTAAAATTATGGCAATGTTTCAAATAATTATTGCGCACATTAAATTTTTATTCATTTTTTGTGCAAATATCTAATTAAAAAATTATATATAATTTAAAATATAATAACAAATATGTTAAAAAATTTAATAACTGTTAAAAACTGCAAGTCTTTTATTGAATATGTGCGTCACGTTACATAATATATTTTACGTGCAATATTGTATAAATACAGATAACAAATAAATGATTACTTACACTAAGTTGCTCCGCCGACGCTCGATGCTCTTCCCGAGCCTCCTCCTCCTCTCAGTCCTTCTTGCAGTCCTTCTTCAAAACACTCACACGCGTTCACGACACAAATATAGAAATTGAACGATATTTTGAACAGTATTACCGACGCGTTACTTTGTCATTTGGACAAAGGAAAACTCAAACGGATATATTATCGCACGGATTACACGTTCGACATTCTGCCGCGTTTGTAATAAGTAACGACGGAAAAAATAAATAAAAAGTTGCAGGAAGTAGTAAAGATATTATTCGAAAAGATAGCGCATCGATACGGAACGCTGTCTACCCCGTACGAGTGCCGCCGTGCGAATAACGGAGCAATAACACATACCAAAGACAAGGTCGCGCCGATTCCGATTTGGAAAAATGCGGAGAGTGGGGAGCGGATACATGTGCGAGCGGATACATAGGGTTTGAGAAAGAGCGAAAGAGAGACAGAGGGAAAATATAGAACGCACAAGCTAAGCGCGGTAACGTAAACAATCCCATCAAACGCCGCAAATCAGCCTCAAAACTTTCAACATTACAGTATTTATCAAACATTGATCGAAATCAAATTTAAATCGATTTTAACTCGGTTTTTGATAAATGTTTGATAAATACTTTAAGAGTTTCGGGGCTAACTTGCGGCGTTTGATGGGGTTGTTTTCGTTGCCGCGGTTAACCTGCGTGCACACGGCTCTCTATATTTCCGCTTTCCTTCCCCTCTTCCCTCTCACTCTTTAGTTATGTATCGGCACATACATTGTTTTCGATCTCACTCTTTTCCATCTTTACTTGTTACGGATACGGCAAAGTATCGAACGTGTAATCCGTACAATGATATTCTGGACGAGTTTTATTTTTGTCTTAATGTGACAAAATACGCGTTGCGAGTGCCGTTTAAAACATCGTGTGATTTTCATATTCGCAAGTGTGAGTGCTTTACAAAACTACAAGAAGAACTGATAAGGCTCAGAAAAAACATCGAGCCTCGGCGGAGCAATTTTAGTAATCATTTATTTGTTGCCTTTATTTTTTTGCAAAATATTGTATGTAAAATACTATGTAACGCACTGAAAACTTTTAAATATTCAGTAACAGATTTGCAATTTTTAATATTTATTAAATTTTTTAACATATTTATTATTTTTGAAAACTTTTATAGTTTTTCGATAAATAGGATAATTCTTTGATTAGGTATTTGTATACAAAATAAGTAAAAGTTTAATGCACATAATAATTATTTCTTAAATAATTATTTTAAACGCTATTATAATTTAGATGTGTACTTTGCATGTTACAGATCATCTTTTGTGAATAATAATTCCGCTGCTGCGCATCGTACCGGTAAGTCCAGTTTGTTATATTTAAATATCATCAATCACAGATTTGTCTCGCACTTTTTTTGAGATATCGACGTCATTGAGGAACGGTAAGCGAGACATATAAAAACCTCCATGCACTTAGCTCGGAAAAGAGTTCTTATCTGTGAATATATTTCCCCCGCCCGTGCGGAAATATGCATACAAGGCGTGCCGGGAATATGGCCACATACGTACGCTAGTATATGCATATATAACGCATATAAAGTTACACTCGTATATCATGCGTGATTAAAGCGGCCGGATATCCCACTCTTTTTTCTCATTTTTTTTTTCAATAATTTAAAAAGCTTATTTCCCTTTACAACAAGTTCTCGTTCTTTTCTTTCAGTCAATCGCGAATATATCAGCTACTTCTATTTTAATTAATTGATACACGATATTATTCCATCACTAAAATCATACAAGAATTTTTGCAACCGCCTTTTTTTTCATTCAAAACAAGACGAAAATTAAGTCAAAATAATACTCTCATTCTTAAAAAAAAAAAAAAGAAGAACAGAATAAAATCTAAAGAGCTAAAAGTAGAATGCAAAAGTACAAACACAACAGGCTTTTGGAAGACGATGGAGGATACAGCGAAGGGGATGCAGCGAGTTTTGCTTGCTTTCGTACTTTACATGCCGGTTCACGCGTGCAAACAGCCAGCATACCGCTTTCTGTCGCATACGCTTGCACGTCGTCGCCGTGGAAAGACGTTGTGGGCGAAGTGAGAATGTAAATCAGACGACGCGCGAACCGGAGTTACATGACTCAAGCAATACAAGAACACCCGTCGTCTTTAACACGCCGCAATATAGACAGACGTTTCACCGACAGCGTAGTTCAAAACTTCTTTCTGTTTGTCTTGCAATAAAATATGCAATTCATATTAAATATTCGTTTTCGATTTGCGCCGAATATTTCATATGACGACTTTGTAAAGAGAAGCGAGATTAAAAAAAAAAATTTAGCATGACGATTTCAAATAATCCATAACGATACAATTTGATAGCGCACCGTAGTAACATACTCTGTTTGACTGATATGAAATTTGTAATAAAATGCATATATGTCCCGCGATATTGCACCACCGCGTTATTGTAGAACGAATAGAGCGCGCTGAGCGGTTCATTCGGCGTGGACTGCGATCGAATCTCGCGTACGTCATGGCGATCGGAAACACGATTGAAAATATTTACGAGGATATGGGTGTCAGGGCGCATCATCGCGCGAAAGGATCGTCCGTTTCCCGCGGCATTCGAGACAGGTATATCCGTTCCGAAAGCCTTTTGCGTCTGACCGGGTTCGATTGATCGTTCTACCTCCGGCTGGTGTATATTCGACACAATGCGGCTCGACTTTAATATATCGCCGATATTACCGACTTGCGGAAACGCGGCGAAAAGGAGCAGTGCGAAAGCCTGGACTCGGGAACAAGCGCGCAAGAAAAAAAAAGAGAAAGAGAGAGAAACGAGAGAGAGGGAGAAAGAAAAAAGAAAAAGTGGAAGGACGTGAAAGGGCCTTCGGAAGTTCGCACAGGTTTTCGTACTTTGGAAAATAAACGGATAAAGCGCAATATCAACGAACGATCAGCTTTTTGGTGCTCCCAATTTCGCTAAATGGCTCGCTCTGGTAGTGAATTGCAAACTATCGCTAAGCGATATCGGTTATTTGCATTGCTGTTGCTCATATTGCGTATGTCCGCGTTGCGCAATATGCGACACGCGAAAAATCGTTTTCAATCGACAGAAGGCTGAGAGGGGGCAGCGCGCTATAAAATGTAAATAACCAATTAAATGGCGGAGCTGTATTTAAATGATGTCGGGGCATGCAAAGCTGCCGTGGAGCCAACTTAGGGATTACTCGTCTTTAAATTATTTTCCGTACCAATTCTCCGTCTCTCCTGGTAATCGTAAGCCGGCTGCAGCGTGCATGAATAAATAAAACGCTCGGTGCTGCTTAGTGAGAAAGTGCGCTTTCAAAGAAAAGTTATCTCGTCAGTCACTGTTAACGGTGAACAACAGAGATAACAAAATGCTTGTTTTAAACGAATTAAATTGTTCATAGGTTTTTTCAAACTGCAATTTCAACGCTCTTGCATGGAACAAAAAATTTAATTATTTAATTATTTTTAACTGGTCGTTCACGCGCCCGCCTTCATTGCCGATGAATCTTATGAAGCTTATGAATCGATGAATTCCCACCGCAAAAACTCGTAAAAACGTTGCACAATTAATTCTTTTCCGAAACATCATCCACCCTTTTTTTCACGTCTATCCAGTACGTCTACTTAGACTCAAAGAACCCTCTGTCGCGACGCGGGCTTGATTTCAATTAAGCACACCAACTCCACCGAGACACTCTTTTTCCCCAGCCGTGTCGCCGATGCTTGTAGCGCGCTGAAAGAAGTCGACTTTCGCACAACGGCGGCAACGTCGGTGCAAAAATTTTATCCCGCTTATTTTGCCTGCTGAGAGGAAAACGACGCGACGGCGGGTAATGAAATGACGAGATACTCACACAGCCGAATCATATTATAATTCACTGCGGAATATTAATAAATGGTGCATAAAGCGTGATCCAAAATTTTAAACTACAACTGCGCAAGCGCGCAACAGACGATGTATCTCGCAGAATACATCGCCGAGTTTTGAGTTGACATCGCCGGATCAACATCTATCACGTCTCCATTCCCGCAATGTAACGTCGTCAATCAAGTGGATATCAGCCCCCAACCCTCGCAAGCCTCGCGGTCCATCCGTGCGTGCGAACGCGTCTGGGTAGACACGTACAAACGTATGCGAATCCGTCGTACAAACGCCAAAGCAAAGGAGAACGAATGTCTCTCCAAACACATGGGTCTCATGTCGTTCCGACGACGATGTCGATATTATTCCGAAGCTAGCCGAGAGACTACTCGAGCGACGTACGGGCTTCGTTCCGTTGGAAAAATATTTATTCGACCGCGATGGAAAGGAGATCTCTTCTATACCCGCGGCGGACGCACACTGCACAGCCTGCGTTCCGCGCCCGTGTATGCTCCGGCGGCCCTTTTGGGATTCTCTGGTAACGAGAAGTCTCAATCCGCTTGAGGCAGGGAGCGGGCTTGGGAGAGTCTGAGAGAGCAATGCTGGAAAGAGGTAAAACATGGAGACGTACGTACCCGATGCCGAGTCCGGTTTCGCATCGAGCTCTTTTTGCGACCGAGCCGCGCGACTGATATTGCGGGAAAGAATGCATTCACGAATGTATTCCCGTGTATACTTACAAGTGTCGTTTTGTACGTATGTGACATATACATTGTACGCCGACTGCATCCCGCACACATGTGAACGCGTAATTCCTACATCATAGGCGCCGAAGCTGCATTCAAATGTTTCGGAACCAGGTTCCTTTAACAAGTTTCAGCGCGTATACTTTCAGACGTCTGCTCTTTGAGAAGTATCGGAGCGAAATATAGTTGTTAATATTTTCTCAAAATATTTGGATATTTTTATTTGCGAGAATTGCCAGTGGTTTTCTGTGGCTTTGAAATAAACATTCGCAAAACGTAAGTAAAATTGCTAATATCACCAGATTTGAAGCACATGAAGAAAATCAATTTCACTTATTGTATCGAGTAATCTTTTGCTTCAACGCAAAATATTCTAACGTTACAAATGACTAGGAAGCTTTCGAATAAAGCGCGCACGGCGCCTATGCTCGACACAAAGTTCTATTTCGCGTACATAGTCGACAGAGGGGGAAATAAATCGGCGAACTGCGACCACGGTCGATTTGATTTTGATCCCGGAATGGGCGAGAGCACAGTCGAGGCTCGCGTTAATTACCAGCAATTTCGGCGTTTCGCCGCTCTTTAAACACCGCCTTGGGAATTAAGCGCCGTACTATATAGTCGATAGCGAGAGAATGAGCGGCAAAGAGGGCGGACGGGATAGACGCTCGTTTC